ACTAAAAACTAACGAATATAATTCAAAAATGCGAAAATGAGGTAGTGTTCACGACCACGCCTTAAAATCTGTCTGAGTGAGAGTGTCTGCGCGCCTGAGCGGATGCGAAAGGGGGCATTGTTCCCTTTTTTTGCATCTTGCTGATTGGCCGATGTCACGAAGTAAACAAGGAAGTCTATGCCCGGGGAAATATCCAAACGGCGGTTTTGACGATGAAAATTTTTTATTTATAATCTACGCTCGAGGAGTAAATTACATTTTTTTACGTAACAGAATTTATCGTGAGACACGTTTAGACTAAATTATACTATATCCTAACAATCTAGTGAACAGCCAATCGTTTAACGAGCTTACAATGTAATTATAATTAGACAAATGGAAACACGCAGAAAAGTTGATGCTGATTGCAGGGGTTCAATAGCGCAGTAAATATTCGAATATATTGCGAAGCAATAAGAAAATAAAATTCATATTCTAATCGAGAGATTCATCACTGTTTAATTTTTGTAAGAATGTATCTTCTCAGAGAGAAAATATTTATCAAAATTTCACAAATCATGCGAAAATATTCACTTCGATGTTTGGAAGTACATATTTGTGCAAATCATTATTTTCGAAAATGAACATTACAAAGAACAAGCAAAGAAGTGGGTTTGGTGATGCCCATTTAGAAAATGTTTCAATCTTGGCGTCGTAAAGCTATCCAGCGTGATGCAGCAACGAGACAGTGTCACATTAAATATCATTGTAATATTTTTTTAATAAGACGACTGAGTTGAGTTCACGAATTGTCGCAGTTTTTGCGTGCTGTTCCGTTTTTAACTTTCAAAAAATATATGCGACCCGCAAAAGACTAGCAACCCTGAATTTTGTCCTGCGAGCGACATAAAATTTGCCGACCCCTGGGCCGTGGCCGATAGTCAGTCACGGCTTCTTCCACATCCGAGTCAATGAATCCAAAAACAAATGGCTGGTTAATTATGGAATGGTGATCGGACTGGAGGCCGTGATAGGATGAGGTATCAGGGATGAATTTTTCCGAAATATTTTGGTGCAGGTCATCAGGCTGTACGAATGAATGAGATGTGCGAAAATCATTATTATAAGTTTGGGAAAATTAACTTTGTTTTTATTATTTTAATGTGAAATGGGGTGAATTTAGGAAGTGAAATACTATAAGGCAAGAGTACACGGCGGTTTTTGAGGAGGTAGAACCCTGGATTCTTTCATTTTCGATCTATTATATGGTGAAAAAGGGGTTTTCAGCCGTGCTACTATTGCTTTTAAAACAACGAAATCACCTTTCCATCAGTAAACGGGGTAATTTTAGATATAATGAATAACTCGCTGAAAAACACCAAGCTCATCTATTTCATTAAAAAACACCATAAACTATTATTTGTCTTCTTATTTGGTCTGTAATATATTCGTTTCTGACTTTATATTTTTTTGTAGTGCAGGGGGGCGATGAAGTTGCATAAACTAATTTAGGGGGGCGATGGTCAAAAAAGGGAACCACTGGTATAGGCACTGCACATGTAGGCTACCTCCTATATTTTGCCCATTCATATTACCAATATTACATTATATGGTCCCACCACTCAAGGGTGCTGTATCTACGCCTAAATTTTTATTTTATCATTATGTATATATGTATTTGGTGTATTGTGTTATCCTTATTTATATATATTATCTTGTCTTATAAACTCCCTTGTACAAACAGTTCTGTGTACTCCTTCCTTACCACTTTCGCCACACCAACCCATTGCCCCACCTTACACAATTGTCTGTATAAGGGACCATATCATATGCATTTAATCTAACATTTTTTGTTCTGTACTTGTCAAAAGGGGTGCATGTTGCACATTTGTGTTTTAGGCCAGTACGGTCTTGTGCATGCGTCCCGTCTCCAATATTAATATTGTCAATTTTTTATATTGCTTACTACTACGAGACTAATAAACATACATACATACCAACAATTGGATATTTGTGCGGATGCACCTCACAAACTTATTTCTGAAATATGATAGAAAAATATTACAGATAATAAAGAATCGCCTGAATTCGAAAACATAGCACTGAAAAATAAGATAGGTAATGACGATACATCCGAAGTGTGAAGTTACTGGAGATATCCCTTCGTTGAATAGGAAATAGTATAGTCAACAGAAAGAACGATGCAGATGTGCTTGAAATACCGAAGCGGACAATTTATAAGAGCGGGCCATTAGAAGGCGACAATTTTTTTCGGGGACAAGCGATACAATATTTCGACGACGCAAAATCAGAAACGCGTTTATTCACGAAGAAGCAAATAGGCTATGCGCTTGTTTTGAAATAAGCTGATTAGGAAATAACGAATAGAATGATTTGTGATTCGAGGTGCTTTGAATCATTTAGCCATGCCCAATCGCAATATTTGACTGATTAAGCATTTCTCTACTGGGTGCGGTGTATACAGGGGCATGCCAAACTTTTCTGCTGCCTGGGGCGAGTTTCTGATAATGACGCCTCTTATATCTAACTTCAAAAATAATTGGGGGGGAATAAACAAATTATAGATGTTGTTATGCATGAGGATAAATAAATTAAAGGTCAAGTAAGATAGAAACGTTTGTTTCATCAAATAAATCGTCAATCCGAGCAACAAATTCACATGTATAAGATCGAACTCATTTATTACCAAAAAGCAAGTCACCTATTTTTACATTGCTGTCAACAAATGTCTGAACGACAGCCTTTTTCGTCGGGAATTTCTCTTCGATGCTAATCAAAGATAAACCTGACAGGCGCTAACTTGGCATCGAAGACGTTTTGCACAAGAACGTTTTGCACAAAAGTTCGTTCACTCTATAATATGTTCCAACCAAATGCCGTCTCCGAAGTTGAATGAAGGAGATGAATAACAATGATGTGCACTTTACTGAGTGTAATTTTGAGTGACAATTTTGCGCAACGGACGCAAGTCGGTAATTTGGAACATAATATCCTAGAGAGAACATAACTTTTGTATAAATCATCCTACATCTTTTAAACTTTTGGGTATAGGCATACAGAAACAGAATTTCAAGCCCAAACCCAATTATTTTTGTAGAAATAATTATTAATTTATGGGTTCCGTTTTTAGGGTCATCCTGACAAGTCTGAGTCTGTTACTGTATTGTTGTAGTTATTTGATTAGGCACTTTGCGTGATCTAGACTCTAGAGCAGCGTTTCCCAAACTTATTTGGCCACGGAACACTTACGCTTTTTATCTCGCCTCGCGGAACACCAAAAAATGAAAGGGTGAAAATAGTGTAATTCGGCGGTTCCGAAAGGGTGCGCCTCGACGCACTAAAGTCGCCGCAAAAACACCGCAAATACACCGCAAAAACTAATAGAATTGTGTTAAACATAACTAAAATATGAATGAATGTTTTACATATTGCAAATGCTCTGTATATGAACAACGACTAACATACCGTATATGAATCAATATATTCATTTTTCGTTTCTATATCGTTAACTTTCTATTACATAATGCCCCTGTTGTTACGTACCAAGGGAGATAGAAGTTCTCGCTGCAATTTTGCGAGCTGCAGACCTGCAGTTTATTTATCTGCTAGATCGAGTTTAGCGAACATGAATATTTTTTTCAGAATTTCGAAGTAAAACCAGGCAGACATGGGGACGGAGAGCTGACCTTTTACTTTTACATATTTGCCCATAGTTTATAGCAAAACCAAAATGATTGGTGACAACTTGATAATGAACTAGTTACTAGACAGTAAACAAGCTAGGCGGAGGGTTAACAATAATGCCACTACCCTCAAAAGGTTAGGCCGACGGTGACGCGATATTGAACGGTTGCCAGCGGGGCGACAACTTCACGATCGCAATGGCGACCAATTTAGTCGTAATTTTGATCCATTTTCCACGGAACACTCGGAAGACGCTCACGGAACGCTAGTGTTCCGCGGAACACAATTTGGAAAACGCTGATCTAGAGAATTACAATTTAGCAAAATGACGACGCATCGAAAAGAAAATTTGAGTTTATTAAAATCAAATCGCGACATAAAAAGTTATATGATATATATTCAATCAGTGCGTTCCGTGAGCTTTTTTGTGAACATAAACAATCATGAGGCGACTGACTCCTCCTTGCCTATTTCTCAAGTTTTATTTTTCATCGATATCTGATCATTTTGGCCAAGTTCTAAAAGCGATCAGATAAGGATATTTTTAGGTAAAAGATATATACAGCGTGACGTAATCCAAATTAACTCGGCATGTGACACAGTACCAAGTACCATTTAGGAACCGTTGGCGTAAGTCGGTTGATTTTCTCCGTTCCCCGTGTATGGGAGACCCATAGCAGTGGATGTGATTTACCGGTACATACCGTATTTATCCTGGGGGAGAGGAAAGTCGATAAGACGGCTTAATCATATGCCGAATCACGGCCTCTCGTCCGGTTACCAGTCCATGTCGGGTGTGAATTAGTTAGCCAGTTACCGGTATTTGATTCAGATGGAGTGCTGTTATTGACAGCCCCGCGTGATGGATCAACTTGAAAATTTAGGTGCTCCCGTACTTATATTTTTAGTACTACTCAAGTGGAAAAGGAGTATACATAGCAATTTTGAACAAAAATTTGCATGATTTCCATAGCAACTATGTCTTTTTAAAATGTACTCCTCAATTTTTAAGTTGGTCTTTTTAAGAGATGCAGCTGATTATAGGTTTTGAATTTGAAAGCAATAGGTCTTGAATTTGATACACCATTTTAACTGCAGCCGATACGCACGACGCAAGATAATAATATGGTCCAGGAGCATCAGCAAGACCCAATTTATAACTAAAACGGACATACATCATCAAGAATATTATCATTTACCATTTGAAAAAACTGTGGAATCAGGTAGTTTAACAACTAGGTCTCGAATTAATTGGAGTCTTACTTTTTGACAGCTCAAACTAGGAGTCAAATCCACCATAATATATCTACATAACATTTTACACTGTCAACAAAATCAGTAATTTAATATTAATTAAAAAAAAATTAAGTTTATTAAATATTGCGTAACAAGAAAATATTAATTAAAAGCAAATGTCTTTTGGCAGTGCGAAAATATCTATCACTGCATTAAGTTAACTTTGCAAGGATATCAATAAACAGACAAGATATGAGCACAACGACATTGTCACTATTTTACTAATTTAACGAGTAATTTCATTTATATTATTTCAAACAATATTATGTGACAATAAAAACATACCAACAATTGAAAACCGGTGCTCACCAAACATGTTTTAGGGCATTTCCAAGTGTTTGGGTTTGTTTCCAGTGAGAGGAACCCTTCTCTATCAATGGGATATCTTCAAGTAAAGTTTCACTTTGAGAGAACCAGTTCGGTGCTACGAACAGTGTTCAATTGTAAGGTTTCATGCTATTTACTGATATCTATATCACAAACATATACGATAATTACTTGCAACACTTCTATTAGTAAGCATTTCACTTGAAATTGAAAGCTTGGGATTTTGCATTGAGCCATGTTGCTCAGGTTGTTTTCCCATTTTAGGAGGCCAGCATGGTCACACCACATGGTCATGTTCATTCACAAAAAAGAAAGTATTCATAACTAGGGCTGCAGACTCAGACTCTGGCAAGATATCATTGATATTGGAATCAGAATTGTATTTTCAACTACCTCGAAGTTGGGAGTTTAAAGGGTTTGCTGATAATTAAAGTCAAAATTATCAATAGAAATTCAAAAAGCATTGATTTGACAAAACATTTCCAGCCGATAATTAAATAGGGCTTGCATACACCAAAGTTGTTAAAATTGAAAAACTGCATGCTGAGCAGTAATAATGGTAAATGACGCTGTACTTGCAGATGTGAAAAATGAACATCAGCATAAATTTTGCCCGAATAGTTCATACTATATATTGATTTTTCACAGTGTTATTCAGTCATATACTTGATGTATTATAATTGTTAGATATAGATATATCATAATCTCCATCACCCATGAATAGTAGTCCTTTTCAGAATTAATGACCAATTGACTGTCACGTTCAGTTTCTTCATGTCGTTCCAGAGACAACACATCAGATAGACAAATCAGACGCAATCAACACTTTGAAAAAAGACCAAACATTTTTCCTGCACTGCTGTGATGTTTTAAGCGAGTTGTACAGTCCAGAATGCTATCTGGCTTCATACAATACAACAGGATAATCAAAGTGAAGTCTGGCAATTTTCAAAGGTACTTCGCCCTGAAAATGTTAAAAATAAAATTTCAGAACTTGAGCTGGATACAGTGTACAGATTACAGACTCTTTGTTTTGACTACTGTCACAAAAGTCGCAGTGCATGTGTGTCTGGGATCAATCTGATTTTCCATTTCCTACACATGTCAAGCACTACTGATTTAATGATAGATAACTGGGTTCGGGAAACAAGTGCCATCTATTATCTCTCAGATATTATGTTAATGGTAATAAAAGGTTAATGATAAAAATATGAGGTTATATTGGCACATCCCCAAAATTATGCGGTAGAAAATGGTCCGAACAGTTCCAGTGCACAAAGTCTAATTGGGTATAAACAATATCCAGCAACAAAAATACCACTTCTACTTGCCTGTAAACATACCTTCTACAGGCATTTGAAGCCAGGTAAAATGGAGATCAGTAGGAGATGAAGCATAGCCTACAATGTGCGCCATGCAGGAATTATCAAATATATATCCATATTTCCCACTATGCATAACAGATTCATGTTAAGATAGGAGCTGAAATGATAAGGAAAAAGAACCAATAAAATTAAGACAAACTTACCTGCGGAGTGAGGCCTGTTTTAATTTTTTTTAGTTTTCTCTTCTTTCCAGATTTCGAACGAACTTCACAGTAGAATTCATTAGCAAGTTGACCATCTTCATCAAAATACTTTGAGCTATAGAAAATGTGAATTGATTAGAAATATGATAATAGGAAGAAACTGATCAATACATAATACCAGTAGTATTACAATTTCATTTATAACAATATGATATCCAATTCAATATTTTTAAACTTGTTTGCCTTTTTCAGCAATATTTTGCTGTTTGTGAGCGAATCACTGATAACTCGGCGTTTTTCGGCTTATTATCAATCCTTTCTACAGTACGGCACACTATCCAAATTCCAAGAATTTTCCTCCATTTGGTACAATAAAACAAACACTCCATGTGTCTCACAAACGAGGGGCGTCTGGCACCACGTCATATGCATCATATCAGGCCATGCTTGTCTCAACAATAATCTGAATTAATCGTGGCCGTCATGTGACCAAAATTGCCGTTTTTCGCTAAACACTCTTGAATTGAAATGAAAATTTTTTTTCCTTCGGTAAATCAGATAATTTTTTTTCAAGGAATTCAATGATGACGTTATTAGATTGCGCTTTTTTGTAGTATTTTGCGCAACTTCATTATAAAGTATTTTTACCGATATTGAGGGACAACAATGTCCAGAGGTCTCCCAAAGGAAGGGTGTCCGATCATCGGTAAATTGGGCTTCTCTGAAACGAGACAACATGGCTCGATCTGTATAGTGTGCCCTACTGTTTAACGAAAGGGTGAATTAAGTGTAGAAGTGTCATATTAAGAAATAATTTGGGCTTCGCATCCCAAAATTTTGGGCGGGATGAAGTTCTTGTACTTGAAGTTCTTGTTTGAAGCTATGAAGAACCCTTATTTATGTATCAGTATAACTGATAAATAAAATAATTTGTTTTTGATTTGTTAGTTTAGTAACTGTTACCATTCATGTTTTTAGGTTTAGAAATACCTTGATCTTGTTAAGACAAACGCCGTGGCCTTCACAGCTATTCCTTGGTGTTTGGATAATGTGCCCTTCGATGATCCTGAGTCAGAATCTGATCCAGTTATATAACTATAACTTTTTTGTGCCATCTTCGTTGCAGTGGCACCCATTTTTGTTATCAGTCAATGCCCAAACGCGCGAGCTTTATCAAACTTGCAAAACCAAGGCAATCTCCCTTAACGAACTACCAACACTTCAATAACAAAACGCAGAAACGGCTTTGCGTACACAGATACCAGCAACTCAAATTCAGCTGATCGGAAAACAGTAGTCATGACGTATTGTTGATCAATTTTCATTTCATCCTTGTCACGTGACCCAAAAATGAATGAATTTGTTCCTCTCAGCTCACCCAGTACACTACAGACTAGTATAAGCGTAAATAAAGAATAATATAATAACAAATATTGAAAAAAACTAGGATAATACGACCCAATTATACCAAGTCTAGAAAGCTATATGTACATGAGCTATAATCTAAACAAATATAAAATACAGTATATATTTACTGTATATATAAACACCACCACCTAAATAGTGTGTAACCACGTATGCTAGTCGTTGGTAACCACAGATGATAATGCTATGGGGTCTGGGGAGTAAAATAATAGCTATAATAAATCAATAAATGTTTATAGTTTGAGCTCGGTTGTTAAATAATTCTGAATACGAACCTTATTGAATTTTTGGGATAAAACCCATCAACAGTAATATTTTCTATGTATCTCTTTCTGCAGACTCACATTACGAGGCGTGTTTTGAAATAACATAAACAATTGGAATATAGGTTATGGAAATATGAGCTGAATTATTACGTTTTAAAACACAACATGATTTATTTTTTTTGGAAAATTTATTGGTTGTAGAAAACGTGAAAAGAAAAGGTCGACCAAGGTACGAGAATGTCGTGTTGTAACAACGCGCAACTTTTAGACAGCATCAATAGATAATTAACAATTTAGTTTTGACAAAATACATTTGGTAATTTTAATTATAGTATCAGTATTTATTTATAGATAACATTAAAGAAGCATGATATTTTTGAATCGACTCGCCATGCATGGTTTAATTTGCACATGCGGCGCTAAAGACCCGTTGCTAAGTAACAATACATGACAATCCAGTCAACGTTCGTTTCTGTGCGTTTACGATGCTTTGCTCGTGTTACCATTTATCACAGTAGAAAAGTCTTATATTGGGTACGTTTGTAAATTCTTCCGTGCCGGATGTAATAGAAAATAATACCACATGAGTTACAATAATACAAAATTAGCGGAATTCCTGTTGATAAGACCCAACTTGGCTAGAGTTCAACAGTTTGCAGTCTCAGGCAGTCTTGAGAATCGATACTTTAGCCGGGATACAAAGAATTTCTTTTGATTCAACACTTATATAGTTAGTTAATCTTATTTCGTTTAAATATGTATAGATTTGCTTAGACTTTGTTACAAGAATATATTTTGTAAATAATACTATAATGTTATATATCACATCTTATGGCTGTATGGGGTATGTGATCAAAGTACAACTTCATTAGACCTAGGTGTCTGTTTTTTTTTTCAATCAGTTATTATCAGACTACAAAGAATAGAACTTGATAATCAAGTTTTTTTAGCACAATTTTAAACCTTTTAGCACTATTGCTAGCTATAATAAATGTGATTTATGTCTTGTTACCAAGTTATTATCTAGTCTCTGAAAGTGTAACAAGCAACCTTTTAAGTGAGATGGTCCATTAAAATACTTTAAAAGTGTGAAATTGGCATAATATTTATTTTTTTAAATTATATAAAAAAGATTATTTAGGAAATATGGAATTGAATAAATCTGACATAAAAGAATATGCATACTAAAATCTTTGAATATTTTTAGCAATAGGTTGCTGTAACTAAAATTAAATATGGCTGAAACAGCAACTGGTGAACCAGATGTTCCTAACAACCAAAGAGAGCTTCAAATACAGAATGCCAAAGCTTATTTACTAAAAACAAGCACAAAGTCCAACACAAACCTATACGATCATTTATCTCGAGTATTAACAAAAGTATTAGATGAAAGGCCGGAAAATGTTGCTGACATATTTGAAGATGTATCAAGGCGTGTAAAGCGTGAAAAATTTGTTTCAAATGTGGACGCTGTTCGTGATGAATTTGAACCTAGTACTGAGTTTGCGCTCGCAGAGATTCAAAAGCCTCTTTTTGAAAAAAGCGGTGATGCTGATGACCAAATGGAAGCTGAAGAAGAGGTTGAAACCCCACTCCCAAATCTTATGGAACTTGCATACAACTTCGAACAAGCTGGAATTGGGCTCGGCTCAGAAGAAATGTATAGAGTGTATCTTGCATTGAAACAACTTGTTGACACATACCCACTCCAAACTGTCAGATTTTGGGGAAAGATTCTTGGCTCAGATGCAAACTACTTTGTTGCTGAAGTTCAATATCGAGAAGGGGAGGAAGAAGAAGAAGAGGAGGAAGAAAAACAGGATGATGAAGAGAAAGAAGAAGAAAAAGACGATGAAGATGAGGAAGGAGAAGGCGGTGAGGAAGATGAAGTTCCAAAACCTGACTACAAACCCCCTCCTGTAATTCCGAAAGAAGATAACAGGACGGGCACCAACAAATATGTCTATTTTGTTTGTAATGAACCAGGAAAACCATGGACAAAACTTCCTCCAGCTACTCCTGCGCAGCTCAGCGCTGGCAGAAAAATCAAGAAGTTCTTTACTGGAAAATTAGATGCCCCAGTTGTTAGTTATCCACCTTTTCCAGGCAATGAGGCCAATTATCTCCGAGTTCAAGTTGCAAGAATCAGTGCTGGCACTCAAGTTAGCCCCGCTGGTTTTTATCAATTTGATGATGAAGAGGAAGAAGAAGAGGAGGGCGAAGGTCGCACAGATTTTGTAGAAAACCCTGACTTTGAAGGTGTTGCGCTTCGTGATCTTGTTGACCCATCACTTTCCAACTGGGTTCATCATGTACAACATATTCTTCCTCAAGGAAGATGCACTTGGTTCAATCCAGTCCAAAAGAATGAAGATGAATTCGAGGATGAGGAAGAAGAAGAGGAAAGGGAAGAGCCAGATGAACCTGAACCAGAAGTTGGTCCTCCTCTACTAACACCACTTTCTGAAGACGTGGAATTTGATGGCATTCCACCATGGTCTGCATCTCTAACCTCACATTTAGTTCCTCAGCATGCAGTTGCAACACTTCGATCAAACCTCTGGCCTGGAGCATTCGCGTTCTCGAATGGCAAAAGATTTGAAAATGTCTACATCGGATATGGACATAAATATGGTGCAAGCAATTACAGTCCCACACCACCACCACAAGTACAAAAAGAATACCCAAGCGGGGCTGAAATTACTGAAGCTGAAGATCCTACAGTTGAAGAAGAAGCGGCTTTGAAAGCAGCACAAGAGGAAGCAATGCAACAAGCTGAAGATATGGAGGAGATGGAAGAAGAGGAGGATGAGGATGACGAATAAACTTTTAATGATTCTTAGATAGCTTTGAGCTGCTATCCCATATCCAATTGGACATATCATCCTTATTTTTATTATTCAACAACTTTTTTGAAAATAAGTCTTTAATGCTTTGTAAATAAAAATATATGTTTGTAAAATTATTCGTTATGATTTATATTACTGTGGTTGCAGCATACCGATGCTGAATCTGTTTCCATGTCTCGTTATCACTAAACTATGTATAAAAAAGCTTCGGAGCGTTTATTCCAGACTCAAGATATTTAGAAAAAAAAAACTGTAATGACATCAGCATTAAAGTGTGGTGTTTTCTGTGAATGCGTTTTTAAATCTTCCCTCCAAGCGAGGCTCTGTTTAAGCACTCATTCAATCAGAGAATGATAGTGGGTTTTGGGAGAAACTGGATCTTTAAGATGACGAAGGATTGCGAAAACACGTGGTCATGATTGAAACTCTACAATCATGCCCACTATCTAGGCCAGGGTTGGGCAGTTGTTTTGCGGACCACACTAGTTAGCAGAGGGCCTCACTTTTTAATGTTATTGATACAGTGTTATAAGTAATTCATGTTTTGAATTTGGTATAATATTTAAAAACAATAGTTATCAGTTTCCACCAGTAAATTGTTTGAGGTAATAAAAACAATGTTTGTAGGTAACAAATTTATTTTATTTTATCCCGGATTGATTTGAAGCTACTGTCAGTCATCAAGTTTTATTTGTTTTCGAAGTATTTGCTTGAGGTGGGGAAAATCCACTTCAGACTTTGATGTAAAAAGTTCTTTTCAGTACAGATAAATGGGTATCTACATACAATCTAAAATTACCCATCAAACTCAGTGTCTCTGAACAAGGATCTGCAAGAAGCTAATAATGTGTGTGAAGAACAAAACTCTCCCAATTTAGCATATCCCACCAAATTTATTACATCTCAAGTAAGGTGGGGGGTATCAACAAATGAATTATCTTACTTAAAACACAACAACACACATTCAATGTACTGTGCACATATTTCATCAAAATTCTTTATTTATTTTCCAGTGTGTATAAGAGAGCACAAATTCTCTACATAAACAATAACACAAAAATATAGTGCAAAACTTATATTATTCTAGAATGAAACAACAATTTCCATTCAACGATAAAATCTATAAATACAGTGAATAAAATTCAATGAAGTTCACTTTCAATAGTATTGATATTACACACAGTAAAATTGCATATATCTTCTATACTGTGGAAAAATCATGTATGAGGCTTTTTGTTTAGTAATTCAAGCTACAATTCTTCCTTTATATTGCTTTTTATATACCTTTCATGCTCCAAATCACATACTTTATGACAATCTTCAAGTTTTTCATGAAGCTTTTTGTATACAACGGAGTCTTTGTTAAAGTCACAAAAATAACAATCCAACCCAAATGGCCTAATTATATTTTCATTCAGCGTAAACGAGATAAACACATTTTTGTCTTGTACAGATTCATACAAAACAATCGCCAAATTTCCAGAAAACGGGCTGATTTTGCCTGTTCTGAATGTTCTATTTTTATGTGCATCAAAATTGTGTGCCTTCAGATGCCTATCCTCTTGATAAAATTCAAGCAAGCTAACAAGTGGGATTAAAGTTTCAGCATGTCCAAATCGTAGTGTTGCTTGCATTTTACCAGGCACTCTCTGGGCTATTCTATCTGTTATGTTTTGGAGTAATATGCAAGATTGCTCAACATTGACTGCATATCCATGACCTGTTTTGTAATAATGCTTCAAATCTGATGCATATTCCAACACTGGAATATCTTTGTTATTGAAGAGCTGGCACCAGACAGAATTTCCATAAATAGCCATCTCAAAAGCACACAATTGATAAATATGGTAAAGTTCTTTTCTATCTTCTATGCCAGAAATATCATCAAGTACTTCATTCATTTGCTTAGATTTAAAGTAGCTTTGAAATTCATGCTCGGCAGTTTCATTTTTGTTCACTGTATGAACATATTTTTGACACTGATCAAAAAAACGCAGGAGACCATCTTCGATTCGAACTGAAATATTTGCATATCTAATAGAATCATGCTCATCTTTCTGATTGTTTTCAGACAAAACTTTTTCTTCTTTGTATTGTATACTTTGGTGATTAGAATTACTCGTTCCATTATTGTTAGCAAGTCTAATAGCATTTAAAAACGCTTTAGCAGTAGCTAAAACCCTCACTTTGCTGCTTGTCATTATCATTAAATCTCTTTGATTTTGTGAACCATGTTTTGCCAAGACTTTATGCCAAAGTTCTGGCATCATTAAAAAATATTTGAAACCGAGCGTGATTTGCTCATTCCAGCCAAGTGATGATAAAAGGTAATTGGAATGTTCTTCAAATTGATTTTTCCATCTTAATATAGAATTTCTTGCCGAATTTGAAAGTTTAAGATCAATGGACTTTTCTATGATTTTCTGGTATTTGACACCAGCAACTTTGAAAATTTTCATGAGCTTGACACTTGGAAAACGTGTTCCATGCCGCAATGTAGCATCAATGAGTACTGGCCTCAAGTGCGTTGGGATATTTGCCTGGATCCATGGCAAAGAATTCTCAATGGATATCCTATGTGCATAAGTTGTTTTAGTTGCAAAATGTGACTGGATACTTGTATCAGTAAAATCTTCATGTGTTGCATAGACAATTTTAGAAACCAATAACAACCACACACACATTGTTTGCAGAATCATTTTGAACTCAAAGCATGACACAAACTAAGAATGTTTTCCCTAAATAAGTGAATAGCATAAGTCTGTAGACAATACAGAAAAAAAATTAATTGGATGCCGGATCATAATCAAAAAGAACACAAATAAATAATGTCAGCTGGTTGCAGAATCTTAAAAAGCCATATGCAAGAACCTTTACAGTATACAGTATATCTGTATATAACAGACATAAAGGCTGTTGGGTGTAAAAATATCAGGCAACAGTTTTTACTTCACCGTGGCATCTGTGCATAAACCTTTCTTTAACAAAATTCTGAAACTAGATAGTCGAACACAAACTATAGGGAGACTCATCAGTCAAATGAGTCATTCAATTACAGTTTATATATTTCTCGCCATTGTAGTTAGCCGCCCCCCAAACAAACATCTTTCGCGATCTCGTGTGGACAGCATTCGCCGAACGTCAATATTATCCTAAGTTAGTCGTCTTCCTAAAACCACCAAACGGTAAATCCCCATATATCGTCCAAACACCAAGCTGCAATGAGAACGAATTAAATTTGCGGTGGCGCGGTACGGTACGTAAAACGAATCTCTCAGTGCCTGCTAAAACATGTCTATTCGCCGCTCTCCTGGTTCAAAGGCATTTGTTCTCAGTGATTGACGAGAATGGCTGGTTCATCGCGTAGTATGGTATGGAAATTCTTTGAAGTTGTAAAAGAAGATGAATGTAAAGTGTAAATGCGAGCTGTGTGGTGACATCATGTCCAGGAGGGGGGAAATTCTCAAAATCGTTCACTACCTCGAATTGAAAAAAATAACTTGAAATCTACTACCCAAAAGATTTTGAGGCAGAAAAGAGAAGACTTCGAGAGGAAGAGGCCAAAAGGCACACAGGTACAAGTGTTGAGACGTACTTTAAACGATTTCAGTCGAAATCTACAGTAACAAACCGCGATCGTAAATCACAGCTCAGCGTAGAAGAAGCTTTTCCAATATCTAAATTGTGGAATATAAACATCTCTGGTTAGGATAGGATAGGATTTACATATTTATCCGGGGGGAGAGGAAAGCCGATAAGACGGCTTATCCATATGGCGAACCACGGCCTCTCGTCCGGTTACCATTCCAAGTCGGGTATGGGATTAGTTTTACTGTATTGTTTGTTTTCGGAAGCATGGACTTGGTGGTGGAGGAAGCCGTAACCGATTAGCGGTTACGTGAACCACCCAACGACGGCGAGGAGTCCAGCAATCCTCTCGCACATAACCATCCCTGCATGGGATTCGAACCTGCGAACCCACGCAGAGTAGTTAGAGGTGCGGTGGCGAGCGTATTCCTAACGCTTAGCCCGTTGAGCCACACCGCCGCGCCGTTATACACCGCCGTTATACACCGACTAATTGGAGAAATGATAGCATCAGACTGTCAGCCGTTCTCAACAGTCGAAGACGTAGGCTTTAGACATTTAATCAGCCATACAAAACCCAGGTACAATATCCCTAGTCACACATATTTTTCCGAAACTGTGATTTCGTCAATCCATAAATCTCTGCGAGAGAAAGTACAAATGATCATCCATCCAGCATGCAAAGAATATAAGTTTTACGTGCGACATATGGACAAGCATAAATAACACGTCGTTTCTAAGTATTGCTGCTCCCGGATTCCGTCAATTTATAAATTTGTTCGAGAATAGAGCAAATGATCATCCAGCATGCAGAGAATATAAGTTTTATGAGCGACATATGGACAGGCATAAATAACATGCCGTTTCAAAGTAATACTGCCACCGGATTCCGTCAATTTATAAATCTGTTCGAGAATAGTTTATAATGATCATCCAGCATGTAGATATATAAGTTTTACGAGCGACATATGGACAAGCATAAATAACACGTCGTTACTAAGTATTGCTGCCCCCGAATTCCGTCAATTTATAAATCTGTTCGAGAATAGTGCAAATGATCATCCAGCATGCAGAGAATATATATAAGTTTTATGAGCGACATATGGACAGGCATAAATACCGTAACATACCGTTTCTAAGTAATACTGCCCCCGGATTCCAGCAATTAATTAATCTGTTCGAGAATAGTTTCTAATGATCATCCAGCATGCAGAGAATATAAGTTTTACGAGCGACATATGGACAGACTTAAATAACACGTCGTTTCTAAGTAATACTGCCCCCGCGTTCCGTCAATTTATAAAACTGTTCGAGAATAGTGCAAATGATCATCCAGCATGCAGAGAAGATAAGTTTTACGAGCGACATATTGACAAGCATACACAAGTCCAGGGATGGCCAATACCGAATAGTTCACTATTTCGAATATGAAATTTCGAATACTTCGAAAATAAAATCCACTAATTGAAGCTTATCTAAATGTATGTAGGAATTTCCATACAATAAGCAATGGAATAACTGCTATCTACAAGTTACAACCTAGCTATATATATTATCAGGCATTTCATATTTGCAGATTATTGCAGTATATATTTTATATATATACCATCCATCATGTTAACAGAATTAAATTAATACGACAATAGTGGTATCGATGATGGATTTGAATATTTGCGCAACACAAAATCAGCCTAGTAAAACGCTCATACTTTTAAATACCAACCATTATCCAAATTATTTGCCAAAAAGCGGGATAAAGTATGAGTTATTTTCCCGACTGGTGACAATTTTTCGTGAGTACAAAAATACGAATCAAAAATTAATTATATTCGGGAACTTTACCACACATTTTAAGTTCGCAGATCGCCGTTCTATGTTTGAGTAATAATACTTTTATTATTTCATAAATATGAAAATAGGAATCAAAAACTATTTATAATCGGTAGTTTACCACACATTCTAAGTCCACAGATCGCCGTTGTATTTTGTAAATACGAAAATGGGAATCAAAAATTATATTAATCGCGAGTTTGCCACACAATTTATGTCCACAGATTGCCGTGATATTGTGCCGAATACAATTAGTTTTTGATCACGAAAAATTGTCACAAGTCGGAAAAAGAATTTTATATGTTATCCCGCTCTTGGGAACTAATTTGGATAATGGTTGCCATTGGTTTGTATTTAAAAGGTATGCATTTTTTTACCAGGATGATTTTGTGCTACGCAAAATATTCGAATCAATGACCGATACCACTATTTAAAATGCCTTACCGTGTTAATTTAATTCTATCATCATAACTCAAAGGTTTATAAATCGGGCAGTTTACCACACATGTTAAGGCCACAGATCGCCGTTGCATTTTACAATTATATATAATAGTTTTATTATTTTGTAAATACGAATCCGAAATTAATTATAATTGGGCAGTTTACCACGTATTTCATGTCCACAAATACCAGTGGTATTTGGTACTAATACTTTCATTATTTTATCAATATAAAAATAGGAATCAATATTTAATAATATCGGTCAGTTTACCACACATTTTATGTCCACAGATTGTCGATACAACCATGTGTTACGTTAAGCAGAATTAAATTAATACGGCATGACATTTTAAATGCTGGTACCAGTCATGGATTGGATTATTTTGCGCAACAAAAAATCATTTTAGCACACAAAAAAATGGGTTTTTTCATATAGGCCTTCAATAAGACGGGTGGAAAAATTGTGTCCCTGTTGTTCAGTTGTGCTGATATGCGCTAATAATTTTATATGTTTAGAACCAGATCATGTTAGTTCGGTAGAATCATACTCACAGAATTAACTATTTTTAACAATTGAGCGGTAAATTCAAGTTGTAAAGCGTCAATCATTTTGGACAACCTATTAACCCGAAAGTTGAAATAATTTTGAAATGTGATAAGTACTACACTGTACGTCCACGGGTTATTTCACAGCTGTGTTTTCCTGACCCTGTCGTGTTCTGCTGAATCGGCAAAACGAAAGGGTCACAAATCACTTTATCTCGGTGGCCGTGTTTCTCTTTAAAGTAACGATAACCGGCCTGCGATTAAATATCATGTAATACGGTAATTGTCAATTTTTCGACGTAATGGAAATGAATTTGTAAATTGAAAGCCTCGTAGACGAATGTCGGCAATGTCCACCCACGCAAACGTGCAAATGTGTCGCAACACTATGCGACGTACGGTCGCACAGAATTTAAACAATCAAAGTGCCGATTCTATTTCATCGTCATTACAATACGTGAGACAGCGTAAAAAGTCGTTTGAAGATTCCCGTGAAACGAAACACCACATTTACGGCAAAAAGTGGCTATTATTCGGAATTAATCGAAAATAAGCCGAAAAGGTATTCGAATACTTTGATATTCGAATACATTCGAATATTCGATTCGTTTTGGACAACCCTGTACACAACACGCCGATTCTAAGTATTATTGCACCCGGATTCCGTCAATTTATAAATCTGTTCGAGAATAGTGCAAATGATCATCCAGCATGCATAGAATATAAGTTTTACGAGCGACATATGGTCAAGCATAAATAACACGCCGTTTCTAAGTATTACTGCTCATACGCTCGATAAAAATTTCCAAGGTAACGTCGTTGTACTAAGCACAATTCATTTTCCGGATTGTCATACTTCTGCAAATATTATTTATCAGGTAGGCTATAAATTCCCCATTCCAAGCTACAAAGTTCAAGTCTTTGCGCGAGACAACGGATCAAATACCGTCAGAGGTAGGCTACAGCGGACACGGGTTATGATGCACCGCCTTGTTTTTTGGACTTACTCCAGCTAGTTCTTAAAGATTCTATTTTGGAGCAAGATGTGGTTAAAGAATTGCTTGAGTTATGTAAAAGAATCGTTAGTCATTCACCGCTGGCTGATACCAAACTTACCGAACTTCAAAGGCTGCGTGGTTGGCCAGTAGTATATATATGTCGAACACAACACAAATTTGTTGTTGAGAACAATGGAAAACACAACATATTTTGTTGTGTAAATGTTGGTGCAAATTGTGGGATGTTGTTATGTAATATTGTTTCCGGTATCGGGGGATTAATCGCATTGTTCTGTGCCCTCGCCAACCGTGTGTTAGTCATTAAGTTTATGGTTTTGCGTATGTTTACTGATCGACGTATGTCAAAATAATTGAAAAACGCCATTTTTTTAAGCGCGTTTTTTAGTTTTCATTTTTTATATTTTGATTTGTATTTTTACAGTTGTTTTTATTTTTCATTACTTTTTTATTTTCGGTTTATTTTTGATTTTGATAATTTTTTTTTTTTTTTTTTTTTTAATTTTTTTTTTTTTTAAATTTTACAAGAAATCGATAGTTCGACATATTATTTACCATAGAGATTTTTTTTCACAGACTTTACTGTTGTTTTTGATAATTTTCGAATGCAATCAGCAGTTCGAGTACATGTACCCACACTACTTGCATTTTGAAATTTGGATTTCATCAATACTACGTAAGTCAGTACGTGTATGTGAGTATTATACGTCAGCGAAACATGACTGTGTTCCTCATATCAATGCTCGCAAGTAGATTGTTCTTCCTCGTATTAGAAGTGAATAAGATATGATTACTTATCGATCTTAAGATCGGTAAGTATATTGATAGGTATTTGTCAGTCTGTGTGTGTGTCTGTTAGATGAACGCGATATCTCGCGAATGCGAGGTTGAATCTGCTCCAAATTTTGCATGTGCATACATCATATCTCGGACCAGAAGCCTATTGATTTTGGGTTGATTATGTCGTATATTTAGCGAGTTATTAATTAATTAGTGATGCGACACACGGTGTCACTATGGAGTAAGAGCGCTGTTTCGAGGGATCCCCTAACTTTCGATCGATAAGTCTTCGGTCTCTGACCGATATTCTCGTTTATTTGATTAGCTTTTATCATTGGCAGCTTTCGTTTATGTTCTTTAGCTTCCTAAATAGGCAACTCTAGTGATTTCCCTACATTCCCCAGATGTGACGCCAGACTTCAATACCTAACTTCGGTAAAATTGTCTTTGAATATTCAGAAAATGGCATATTTATCAGTGTAGAGTAGATGGTCTGTCATATACATAACGCATTTTTATAAGTTGCAAATAGTTTCATCG